ACAGTTGACAGGGACGTCAACCGTTTAAGTGGGGGAGAATGTTGTGGGCATGCTTGTCCAGGGTGTGTTCCCCATGGCCGCATGTCCAAACCATCCTCACCACTCGCTTTCCTTTCATGTCTTTAAAAGCTTTCTAGTGTAATTTTCTTGTATCGGGTGTTTGGGGTTGTAGGTGGAATTTGGCCGAGCGGCTTTGGAACTAGGTGTGTATTAGTAAGATATGTAAGCACGCCAAATTTCAAGCCAATCGGAGTTCACACGGGCCCTGTAGGCCACCGAGTGACTCCTCGCCACTTAGGACGTCTACACCTGCCACACCAAAAATGCCTTATAATGTACCTTAGGGGGGACCAAGTAGTCATCAAACCTCCCCCCGACCAAGTGTTGTATGCTTTCTTGCAATCAAAGCTTTCTTGCATCCAATGTCTACAATGCTTGTTTTAAAGATGTTTTCAACTGTTTCTCTCTCACGTTTTCTAACTTGAGCGGAGGCTAGACCCACGACCGAGATTGTCCGCAATTTACAGTTTTTCCCGGCTGACTTGCTCGTTTGAGCTAGAGCAAGTGCCGCACAATCGCTCGAGCTGCTTTGAAAAGGTGCGATTGTGACAATCAGCAAACAGAGGTAGCCTTTTTTATTGTTGAGTTTTTCAAACCAGAGGGTGTAGTCATCACTCCTATGTTCTCGAAAGAACTTGTGTGTGAGTGGGGTGTCGAGCAGCAGGCTAAGGGAAGAAGTAACCCAACTTAACCCTATTTACAGAGGCCCAAGTGAGAGATAAGGAGAAGGATCAATCCCTTCCAGCTTCAGTGATCCTAGCACGACTCCCTCTGTAGTGCTTATCAACGTTGATGGTGAAGGATTTCCTATCAATAACTACATTACAGGGCTGGTAGTTCCAGGGGTTCATGTTGGTGGTCGGAAGCTTGGGAGAAGAAAAAAGGAAGTTTAGAGGGGAATGGTGGTCGGAAGATGGGTACCATGGTTAGCGGCGGTGGCGGCGGTGTGGTGGGGGAGGGGGGAGAGAAGATTTCTCATGATCCATCCTAACACGTGAGTCATTCTTTATCACAGGAACAATGGGCAGGCACAGACTCTTAAAGAACATCAATGTTCTTTTTCATTAAACCAAAACATTGATTCAGCATCCTTTTAGTCCAATAGCTAAGTTAAATCAAGCCACTTACATCAAAGGAAAGCTACGGTCTACTGATTCCATCAACTTCAAATCTTTCCCTCCTATCAATTACAAGATTTTTTTTTAACAAGAAACAAACTTTTCATTGATAAATGAAAGGGAAGAAAAATGCTACACCAACAACTTGAACAAGAGAAATAACAACCATAAGCATTTGATAAGAGCACATATCGGAGAATGCCAAACAACAGAGTTATTTATGTAGTAGTAACAAATATATGCAAGAACAAAGGTTTGAACAAAGAACCTGTACCACGGGGAAAAAAAGCTAGCTGGATAAACAAGACAGGGATCGCCCGCTCGGCAATGCTACCTTGGGGCTGTCTCTTATACACATCTTTTGAGTACCACGGGGAAAAAAAGCTAGCTGGATAAACAAGACAGGGATCGCCCGCTCGGCAATGCTACCTTGGGGAGGAGACAAAACACTTTAATATAACAATGGAAACTCATATTCAAAAGCTTAGGTGGCCAAATGCTACCAGCAAATGCCTACAAGTTGCTACCATTTGAAGATCCTGATGTGCACGATTAAGGAACCAAAAATTCAATGTGCAGAGAGAAAAACCTTTTGTATAGGATAGAAGTTGCACAAGGTTGTTAATGAAGATTTATCGGAGGTTTCCTAACAAAAGAATTTAACTTACTTTTTGCATAGGATAACCAATTACACTCTTCTATAAAAATGGATTTCATTCCATCTCCTCCTCGGAAGGAGACTTTGGTGGTTAAAAAAGCTTCTTGCGTAGATAATCAAAGTTTTTTTAAATATTTTGAAGATGTAGGTCTTGCCCTAGTTCCAATCACTGAATAGGTAACCTTTAATTAAGGGCAACAGATTTTTGGTTGGTTCTGCTTTACAGCATTTTTTAGGGTTGAGATATTATCGTTTTCGTGTCTTCTCTTGGTGGAGGGAGGTTTCAATTTCTTTACTTCTGGTGATCAGCTTGTGTTAAGTGATTGTTTTGGATATCATTTTCGTGTCTTCTCTTGGTGGAGGGAGGTTTCAATTTCTTTACTTCTGGCGATCAGCTTGTGTTAAGTGATTGTTTTGGTTTCCTCCTCAGCAGTCGGTCCTTTTGAATTGACAAGCTTTATTGATAACAATTTTCAGCATTTGTTCTTGGACTTCAGATCTCATCTATTTCATGGGTTTTGGGTTTCTATGTTCTGTTTGTTTTTCTTATTCTTTTTCCAACAGTGATTGCTTTGGTTTCCTCCTCATCAGTCGGTCCTTTTGAATTGACAAGCTTTATTGATAACAATTTTCAGCATCTGTTCTTGGACTTCAGATCTCATCTATTTCATGGGTTTTGGGTTTCTATGTTCGGTTTGTTTTTCTTATTCTTTTTCCACTTCCTTTGGAAGCTTGTATCCTTGAACATTTTTCTTCCTTTTCATATTATCAGTGAAAAGTTTGTTTCTTGTTAAAAAAAAAGTTCCACAAGACATTCAGGTGTCGCAACCTTTAACCAATACTCAATAGACAATCCAAAAAAAGAGTTAAAAGGATATACTACGACTTGAAATATTTGTAGAACCTGATCCATTAACAAAATGTCCTTGTTAATTGCCGATTTGCCCCTTCTCCTTTTGCACAAAAAAGAACTTGCATGTTTACGTAACCAAAGTTTTCCATCCAAAAACTCAAGGAGATTTCTAAAAATATTTCAACAAAAGCTAGAGATAACACTTGGATCGACTCTACTCCTTTGTCTGTCTCTTTTCCTGATTTGTATGCCATTTCTACTAAGAAGGAAAAGTCAATTGCAGATTGCTGGATTTCAGAGGCCATGACTTGGGATATCGGAATGAGAAGGAACCTTTTTGATAGAGAAATGGAGAGATGGGCAGTCTTCATTGGAAAGTTAGAAGGTGTGGTTATTGGTCAAGGTAGAGATTCGTTATGGTGGAAGGCGGACAGCAAGGACACCTTTTCAGTGAAATCTGCATTCTTTGCCATCACTTCCCCCTCCCCTAAGCTGAATACTGCCACCGCTTCTTTTATTTGGAATTTCAAGGTTCCTAAGAAGGTAAAGGTTTTACTTTGGACTCTCTTCTATTGGGGAAGAAATACTGCAGATAAAATACAAAGGAAGCTTCCTCATTGGACTCTTTTCCCTTCAGTCTGTACCATGTGCATTAATCGTGCAAAAACGGTGGATCACCTCTTCCTCCATTGTTCATTTGCTACTAGGGCTCGGAACTTTGTGGCTTCTCTCTTTGATCTTGCTGTCTGCGTTCCGAAGAGAATTGATAATTTTGTGGCTGAAGGTTTTGGTGGTTCTAGGCTCAAAGGAAAAGCTTATGTTCTATGGAATAGTGCTGCTAGAGCTCTTCTGTGGTTGGTTGCTTTGGAATGAATGAAACCATAGACTTTTTGAAGAGAAAGAGGCTTCTTTTGACTCTTTTAGTGTGAATATTAAGCATACCGCTTCTTGGTGGGCTTCGATCCATAAGAAGGTTTGTTGTAACTATGGGTTCTTTTTTATTCTTCAGTGTTGGAATTCCTTGATTGTATAGTCTCCTCGGGGAGGGTCCCCTCGACCCTCTGCCACTAGGCTGTCCTTTTGCCTCCAAGCTTCTTTTGATTTTGAATACGATCTTTTTGTTTCTTATCAATAAAAAAACAAAAAAAAAACAAAAGCTAGAGATAGAATTTTTTAGATACAAACCATGCATCCATAGAAAAGTTAGCGATAGTTTTAAAAGTGGGATTTCATTCATCCCTTCTATCTTAAAATTCATTTGATGTTCATTAAGTAAAAAAGTATGTAATATCTAAAGGAAGGCTATATAAGGTAAAGGGATCCATTTGGTCCACATTTGTTCCTAGTTGTTATCAACTCCCATTTGCCTACAATTCTTGCATTACTCCAACATAGAATTGGCATTGTTGTAGCCAAAACGAAAAAGAAGAACATAAGTTCCCATATCTAATTAAGAAAACTCAATCTTCATCAACTCAATCCAATTGTGAACCAGGTGTGCAAGTGCAACATTCAAATTCCTACAAGTAACCAGGTGCGAACCAGGAAGCCTTTCTTTAGCTAGTGCTTCCCCTTGTCAGGCTCTTGTTTTTTTGTCTGCCGGTGTTTTTTTTGTATATTTTTTCATTTATCTTAATGAAAGTGCAGTTTCTTATTAAAAAAAATAAAAATAAAAAAAATCCTACAAGTAACTGAGTTGCACAAAATAATAGATGTAACTCTTGAACTCATACCATCCAGCTACAAGCTAATATAAACCAGCTAAGAACGAAACAAGAAATAATCAAAGCATAACAACTTTAAAATATGAGTATCCCCCAATCGGCCTGAGATTAATGCCACCTTGATGTTTTATACTAACTTGCAAGTGTATTGAAGAAGCTAGGCTAGCTAACAACATGAGATGAAGTAAATTCTTTCCAAACTCATAATGCACGCATGATAGAACCCCAAACACATTTTCTAAATAGCTTCATATCTGGTTTGGCATACACTCTTCCTACTTTTCATGTTGATTGGAGAATAAAAATAAAGGAAAAACCATTAGGAAATCTATTATTTAAAAAAAAAAAGGGCGACGCTATAGAGAAAGATCACAATTTTTATAGAACAGCTACATGGAGCAAGAGTTCACTAACAATTAAAGATATAAAAACTAATAGCATAATTCTAACCTAAACCCAACAAATAACAACTTTTAATTAACAATGGAAAATAGTGAGATATGAAGACCAAATATAGCATATAAAACAGTCATACATGTCATATCGTAGTTTACACAGAAAAAAGAACATAAATTACTAGGGCTGACCTTACTAGAATGTGAAGAGCCATCAAGGCAAGCACCGAATATAGGGTAGAATATCAACGAAATTCCCAAGAATAAACAAATACAAACAGGAATACCTTGCTCGGTCTTCATCACATAACTGAAAAAATGAGTATAAAATGTTAAGGTTTGAATGTTTATCTATAACGCCTATAACAGTTCTGTGAAGGAAATGATAATAGTAGCCCCGAATCCAAAACTATAGATAGAAAAACAAAAGAACACTTTGATTCGCATGATTTGCAAGTTTCATAAAAGGATTGTGAACCTTTCCCAAAAGAAAAGGGAAAATTGAAAACTTTCCATTTTCCCCTTTCTTTCTCAGAACGAAGCTTGCAAATTCAATGAACATATGAAATTATAAATGGAGAGATCGACCCAACAAAAGCCTAGGAATTACCAAATACGAACCCCAGTTAACAAAAACTAGAAAGAAAGGTTAGTTTAAAAAAAAGTTCAACAACTTACATGAATAACATTACTCGATCTACCTGCTTAAGCCTTCTTCCCAAGGCAAACCCTGAAGAACATATCTAAACCCTGTGAATTTCTCAACCAAAGTATAAGCGTAACTTGTCCTCAATGGCATTCCATACGTAACTCTCCTGTTTAATCAAACAGTTCAATCAACAAATAAGCAAAACAGCTGAAATTATCTAACCAACAAAAACAAACTACTGAACCCCAAAAAGAAAAGAAAAAAAAAACATGCAAAACGATGGATAATCCAATTAAGTTCTTCCTACACACAACTCAATCAACCTATCCTATTAACAAAGAAAAATCGCAGCCTAAGGTTCTCCTTAGTCAAGCCTCCTCCATGTGATCACCATGTTCATAAGCCTGGTCATCGGGGGTATTAAAATACTCTATAAGTAGCTCTCACTAACTACACACAATCAACATGCTTATCGACACAACATCCAGCAGAACATGTCAAGTCAGTAATCATGCTTAACAGGATATATCTATTTAACAAACTCAACAACATACAGTCAGAATACACCACACAAGTGTTCTCAGCTACAAGACCCACTAAGCCTTGGCTCTCTCAAGCTTTCCAAACTTATCTCAAGTTCCTACTAGTTACTCTCCAACTCACTAAGCTCTCCAAACCCCTGACCATTTGTACCCAAGGCTCGACACTTCTCCACAAAAACTTGACGCTCAACGTTTGACCATTTGTACTCAAGACCTCGATGACTTCACAACTTACTGGCTCTTGACCCTTTGCACCCAAGGCCCCAATAGTTGTTTTCCCTCAAGACTCATTGTATCGACCATTGACCATTTGTATCCAAAGCCCCGATACTCATCTTTGTCCAACTTTGGCATATCATCCCCTTGACCATTTGTACCCGAAACTTCGATACCTAATTTGTGACATATTAGCCCCCGACCATTTGCACCTGAGGCCCTGGCATTCACCCATTCTCTTACCACAACAACCAAGTACTTACATTCCACTCCTAGTCTGCAACTAGGATTCTTGCAACTAGGATTTTTGCAACTAGGATTCTAGTACATGCTCTCTAACCATGCTCATAACAAGGCGAAACTTCACAACTAACTAGCCCACCATGCTCTTATCACAACTTAAGAGAACTCACAACCACATAAGTTTTAACAACAACCTGCACGTTCTCATCACAAAGAGCACAAGTATATGGGTCCTCAAAAAAATTAGAATGCCTTACCAAGTACAGCCAAAACAAACAAACAATTTCCACAACAAAGTTTCCACTCCAATGAAAATAAACACAACATTTCTCAATGTGCTCAGCATGCTGTTGAGTCAACAGGTAATCAACACAACATATGATTAGCACCAAGTGGGTTCTCAAAATTATCCAGCTAAATACATTAAACAAACAACTTAATCATCCAACTACAAAACATGCTTACAGCCAACCATAACAAAAACATATCAAGTGAGTATAATCATATGAGATATAAATGTTAGAGTTAACAATAACATATAAAAGCACTCAACACACACATGCCCTTAGTACTGCTTACAACACTCCTAACGCTCCTAACTCTTGAGTTGGTTCAAAACCTAGGCAAAAAATTAAAAAAACAGCATGTTACAACTCGACTTCGGCCCTATTCCTTGATTTTGTATAAAAAAATAGGAAAATTTTCATATGCAATTTATCGACAAAGATAAGACCTTAATCATGAACCAAATCAAGTGGGTATTGATTCTAAAGGGGTTCGAAAGGAGTCAGTTACCCACTAGCCCTTACCAGAATCGAATGGGTCCTTGCTGAACGGCGTCGATCGAGCTTGGAAAAACAATGTCGACAAGGGGTGGGTAACACAGATCCGAGCTGGTTTGAGCTTAGGTCTGTGCCGTACGTCGTCAAAAAGGGCAAAAAAGCCGCGGGTCTCGGTCGGAAACGCGTGAAGCTCGCCGGAGGAAACTGCCGGAGGACCGCCGCTGCGCTGGAGAGGAGACGCCGTCGCTCAGGTGCTGCACCGCCGTGGGTTCGAGGTCACCGCCGCTGCCCCTGCTGCCGTGCTGCTGAAACCGGAGCGCCGAGAAAGCCAGAACACACCGCCGTCGAAGGAGATGCCGGAGAAGACGTCGTCGCCGGAGAAGGAGGGTTGGCGGCTGGATATTCCACGATGGGGGGTGGCTGCTCAGAGAAAAAGAGACGGGGAGACCAAAGCTAGAATTTACTGTTTTTTTTTAAATTAATAAAAGTTGCTTTTGATTAAGATTTTTGTTAAATGCCTGGAAATAAGATGTTTAATTGTCTAGGATTAAGATGCTTGAATATATCTTAAAAATATGTATTTTATGTTACTCTAAACATTAATTAATAACTCATCAAATTAAATTAAAAATAAATAATATAAATTAAAGTTTTAAAAAAAATATATATATATATAAATTAAAATAATTAATTATTTATATTAGTATTTTAAATTTTAATTTGACAATTTAACACAACAATTAATAGTAAATATTATTTAACTAAAATTCAATATATACATATTTAACCAAAATGCCAAAATGATAAATAAAGCTTTAAAATGGATTTTTAAGCTGAATAGTCGGTCTATTATAAAATGTGCCCCGGTAAACATTTGCTAACATCCCGTCCATTCTAAATTACTATCCTACCCATCCACTAATCTACTTAAAATTTTTACTTTTCCATCTTTTTTCATTTGAATCTCATATTCTCTCCTTCTCCCTCTTCTCATTCTTCTTCTCTCCCTCGTTCTTTTAGATTTTTACGGATTTCAAATTCTTTTTTTAGATCTGTTGCATTATTTTTTTTTTTTTGAAAAAAACAAATAGAGAAAGAAAGAGGAAAAAAAAAGAAAAGAGAGAGAAGCGAAAAAGAGAGAGAAGGTTATTTGAATTATGTTACTAATTTTAAGCGGATATCAAGGAATCCTATCCCGATTATTTGAAAAATCAATTACTAATTTAATATTAAAAAAATCTATGAAAAATTGTTTAAATTACAAAATGGGATGATTAAATATTTTAATGAAAATCGAATTTCATAATCCCAACCCAAAATGAGTGTGAAGATTTAATTAAAAATTGGTCATGATTCTATGAATCCGCGCAAGATTAAATAAATCCGGGATTTAATATCAAAAGTTACATGCCCAAGATAAATTTTAGAAAAAGAAAGAAATTGGATGAATTTCCGTGAATCGGTCAAGATTGAATAAATCCGATATTTAATTTCAAAAGATGGCAAGATTGCATGCCCAAAATAATTAAAAAAGAATTGCACAAATTTCCGTGAATCCGGACAAGATTGAATAAATATGGAATTTAATTTTAAAAAAGTGATAACAACAGATATGACCATTTAAAATAGATGATTTTAAAATATGGCCAAATAACTCTCAATTTTCAATAATGGCCAATAAAGATCTCTACTACATGATCCTATATACGGGAGTAAATGGTTTTTAAATAAATATATTATTTTTCCTTTTTTACATGATCCTACATATATTTTTCCATTATATTATAATTCAAATATTTTTAAAATATTTCCTATATTTTCTAATTCAAATCTTTTCCCAACCAATTATTAGGAGAATTATAGTAAGAAAAATATTCATTAAATTACCATCTAAAACAAAATTTAAACAAGAAAAATCATTATTGAAAATTATACTCAAAACATAAAATAGAACAAATACGGTGGAGATACAAGGAAGGTGAATAGAGGAGAGTAACAAGTACGATGAAGGTGAATAGAGGAGAGTAACAAATACGATGAAGGTGAACCGAGAACAGAGAACAGATGAACAAATACAGTGAATACTGTAACAGAGGAAAAATAACGATGAACAAAGGAAAAAAACAATTAATACAAAAATAAAAATATAAAGCATTATACCTCAAACCAAAAGCAATTTGTAGAAACTCAACATGGAGGCATCTCTCTCATTGCAACTCATCTCTATCACAACCCAACTCTATCACCAACCACATTGCCCCATTGTTCTGTCTCCCTCACCATACCATAGAGTTTCTATCTCCCTTACCATACCCTTAACTCGGCTTCGATAGTCTCCCTCGATGCCATGTCTCTTTAAATTTAGTTAATTAGGTGTCTACAAAGTTTATAATAAATATTAAGTTTATAACAATAGTTGTTGGAAAAAAAAACTAGAATCAAGTAGAGATCTAGGATAATAGAAGTTAAAGATATTTTGTTTTTAAAACTAATAACTAAATAGCAAGGATAAAAGTGTCAAAATAAAATCTGCAAAGTAGTTAGAAAAATATAAATGGACATTTTTAATTATCACGGATCATTCGGCCATTTTTCAAAACGGCGTGACAAATAAGGACACCTGCTCTAAATTCTCTTATCTTGAAAAGGGGTGATTGCATGCCCAAAATGATAATAAAAAAAAGAAAAAGAAATTTGCATGAATATCCCGGCCCGGGATTACACAATCTGGGCCTGAGTAGAACAATCCCGATTTGGGATTATATTTGTATTCAATTTCGGTCCGGGATACATGTTTTCAATTTTTTTTTTCTCTTTCGAATCCGATTTGCCTATTTATTTTTTCTTGATTCTTATTTGTCCGGGATTCTTGCTTTCCCATTTGTGTTGTACGGTTTTTCTTTTATATTTTTTTCCCGTATATTTTGGGGTCTGTTTTATGAGTTTTTTTTAGGAATTGAATTGGAAAGAAGCCAAACTAGAATTTTGAGGTTACGTGTCTTGATTTTTTTCATATTAAAAATACGTAATTAACTAATGATTTAGATTTTGTAATTAACCAATTTATTAATTTTATTAAAAGATATTATATTTAAAAATTTTGAAACTATTGCCTTTATAAATTTGTTTAATGATGACTTATAAAAACTAATTCAATATTTTGAAATCAAATCTCCGCCTCAATTGAAATCAGTAATAGAATTTAAAAATTGAGATTTCTTTTTCTCGCTCTCCTCCCTTTCTCTCGCTGTCTCTCCTTTTCACGCCCTCGCTCTCTTTCTCGTTCTCCCTCTCTTTCTCGATCTCTTTCTCCCTCTCTTCTCTTTCTCTCTCTTCTCATTTTATTTCTCTTTCTTCCCTCTCTTTTCTCTTTCTCATTCTCTCTCTTCAATCTCCCACAGTCAGCTTTAGTTCTCCCACAATCAGTTGATTTTATCGTTAGAAGAAAATGAAGTTCCTTATGTACGAGTACTTCATTTTTTCATTGATTCATGGAAAGTGATTTTTCGTTGATTCATGCAAAATAGGGAAAAAAATGAAATAGAGAAGAGAGGTAGAGAAAAATCTAAAAATCTGTACATTTTATTTTAAAGAAAATCTGAAGAAAGAGAAAGTTTCAAATCCATAAAATTATGAAAATTTTGAAGAGAAAAAAAAATGAAAGTTTGAAATCTGTAAAAATCTGAAAATTTAGGGGAATGTTTAAGTATGTTAGTGGATGGGTAGGACAGTAATTTGGAATGGATGGTGATGTCAGCAAACGTTTACAAGAGAGGGGCCACATTTCATAATGGGTCTTTGAAAAATGCTATTCAATCAAAAAAACTTTTGTCATGAAACAACACTAATTAGGATGGTACTTGTTTATGCAAGGATGTGCACAACAGCGTATTTCAGATTGCAGCTCGAACTCGGCCTGCGGACCGACCTGAACACTTGAGCGGACCTGCACAAAAAGGTGAGCACTCCGACGATCAAGTCAGTATAGGTCGGATTCCCAGTTTAGTTCGAGGCTAGAAATCATCGTACCTGATCGTGGAGTGAAGTCCTCTACTTATGGGTGGTAGTCCCGCTAATCTCGCAACGGTTATACTCGGTAATCTCGGGATTGTCGGTTACGCCCGGTAATCTCGGGACCGACGATTATGCCCGATAATCACGCCGCTGACAGTAATTCGCATCGGCCCCCACCGAGCTTCCCGGTAGGTCGGACCTCGACTAGGTTCACCTCGGCCCTCATACTTAGCATCTATCAACGCTAGTAGTGGTGATCTCGGCCGTCCGAGCTGGGCATGACTCATGAGTCATCTTGG